GTGGATGTACAAATTCTTCATTCTACTGTTTGTCTGTCTTTGCTCTACTACCACATTGTCTTAAAACACCACAGCTTTAAGTTGTGTTAAAGCTATGGTAAAGCCTTCAGCTTTCATATTCTACTTTAGGGTTGCTTTGGTTCTTTTGATCTTTTGCATTTTCATATACATTTACATATCATCTTTAAGATGTTTTAAATATTTTAAAATTAAAAATGTTAAACTGGGGGTGGGACAGAAGTTAATTAAATAGAATTAAATAGCATTCAATTTAATTCTCCATTAAATTGAATTCAAGGCTTGCAGGGTGGGTAAGGAGTGAAAAAAATCTGTCTCTTTCCCTCTCCAGTCCCCATTTTTTCCCCATCCTCCCAGAAATATCTGAGCATATACAAGCACATCCCCACTCTTGCCTTCACAAAGAATAGCATATTGTACACGTTGTTCTGTAGCTTGTTTTTTTCCTCTTAATATATCTTATAGAACTTGTTATTTCAGTAGTTGCCTGGGATTCTTTGATGACATCAATAATCTTTTTAACCTGTTCCAAATTAGGCTGTTTCAGTCTTTGTTCCCGCTACAAGAAATGCTGCCATGACTCCCCTGGACCTACATTTTTGTGTTCAGGTGCATAGCCACTCGTTGGATGAATTCTTAGAATCAGACTTAGCAACATCCCACTGTCTCCAATGCTGGGTTTTCTGCAGAAGATTGTTTTTTGAAGGAGTCTGAAAACCTTGGATTAGAGGCTCCTCCAAGCCCCCAGCTCTGATGGTCTGGGACTGCAGGTTGAATGCTAGATCACTGTTTTCTGACCTTGAGTTCTGTTCCCAGGCCTCAGCCGTTATTTTTGACTCTGTCAGTTCCCACCCTGATCCTGAGGCTTTGAACCCAAATCTACAGCCCAGATGCTTCAGTCTTGAATTGGGAGATCGACCTGATGGAAGGAACGAGGGCTTTGGGGAGTACAGCAGTGGGTTTCAAATCCAACCTCTGCTCCATCTCCCTTTCCCACTGCCCTGCTTCAGTTATGTGACCTTGGGCAAGACACTTGACTTCTCTGAGCTTCAGTTTCCTCCTGTGTATGTCAAGAGGTCTGTACTGGAGCCTTCCAGCTCTAACACTTACTTGTGTAGAGAATTCCTAATTTCTAATTCTCTGGCTTCGATACCTGGCCTTCCCTTCCCTCACCCCCATCTTTGTATCTGGCAACTCACAGGTCTGCTCTCTGATTCTGTCCACTTGAGTTTAGTCTGGCGCAGAGCTTAAGAGCAGAGCTGTGGACTCAGCCTGACTTGTCCATCTCAACCACTTACTACTTCACTTCTAGGGACCTGTGTCCTCATCTCTCAAATAGAGGTAATAATACCGACCTCCTACGCTGACAGAATAGCTGTCATACAGCAAGCCCACAAGAAATGCTAGCTGCCGCTGCTATTATTAGCATTATCTCATCCCTACTCTCAGCACAAGTTTGGATTTAGAAATGTGGCTTTGGAGTGAGAGAAAAGTACTGACTTCCCTCCATCCCATCTCCCCTCAGCTCAGGGGCTTTGCTGGGGTCCAGGAATCCAGTCTGTAGTACCTTATAGGTACCTTCCAGTACCTATCGGGCTTCTCTGGTGATTCAGATGGTAAAGAGTCTGCCTGCAATGCAGAAGACACAGGTTCGATCCCCAGGTAGGGAAGATCCCCTGGAGAAGGGAATGGCTACCCACTCCCGTATTCTTGCCTGGAGAATCCCATGGACAGAGGAGCCTGGTGGGCTATAGTCCTTGGGGTCAAGAAGAGTCAGACATGACTGAGTGACTAACACTATAGTACCTACCACTGTATAGCAAACTGCCCCCAAACCTGGAGGCTTCCAGTAGTAATGATTATTATTTCTCACAATGCTATGGGTCAACTGAACAGTTTTGTTTTTCTAATGTGGGCTACAGACCACGGGGTCACAAAGAGTCGAACACACTGTTTTTCTAATATGGCCGCAGCATGCAACTTGTGGGATATTAGTTCCCCGACCAGGAATTGGGCCAACACCCTCGGTGGTGAAAACACAGAATCCTAAGCACTTGACCCCCAGGGGAGTCCTTAAAAGTGATGTATTGATTTACTTAACTATTTTTGACTGCATCTTGAGGCTTGTGGCATCTTTGTTCCCCAACCAGGGATAGAACCCAGGCCCTTGGCAGGGAGAGCATGGAGCCCTAACCATTGGACCACCAGGAATTCCCTGAGCGGTTCTGCTGCACTCACTGCGATTTCGTGCCGCTGGTGTCGAGGCTGGGCTGTTGGCCAGCACACCTCGGCCCATGCATCCTCACTCGTCCTTCAGCAGGCTGGCCCAGGCTTCCTTACGCTGAGGTCCCAGGAGTTCTGTCTGAGGACCCAGGCACTGAAAGTCCCACAGCACTACTTCCACCACACTCTGTTGGCCAAAGCAAGTCTTGAGGCCAGCTCAGACCCAAGAAGTGAGGAAATCCACTCTACCTCTTGACGGGAGGAGCTGCAAAATACTGTGCGTCTACCCCAGAGCTCAGTAATTCTGTATTCAATGAGAGGCAGCAGGATGACCTCTGTGAACCTCAGTTTCTTTTTTTAATTCATTCATTCATTAATTTTTGGCTGTGCTGGGTCTTCACTGCTGCACACACGTGGGCTTTCTCTAGCTGCAGCGAGCCGGGGCTACTCTCTAGTTGCAGAGCACAGGCTTCTGATTGCGGTGGCTTTTCTTGTTACAGAGTATGGGTTCTAGAGTGCAGGCTCAGCAGTTGCAGAGCACAGGCTTAGTTGCCCCAGGGCATGTGGGATCTTCCTGAACCAGGGCTCGAACCCTAGTCCCCTGCATTGGCAGGTGGATCCCTGGCCATTAGACCACCAGGGAAGTCCAAGCCCTAGTTTCCACATGTGTAAAGTGAGTCTAAGAATACCACCTATGTAAGGTCACTGTGAGGAAATAAAGTGATAAAATCCAGAGAACACACTCAGCACAGGAGCTGGTACTCAGCAGGTGTTCAGTCCATATGGTAACCAGTGTGGATATTATTGGCCAAGGTTCTTCTGGCTGGTTCCTATGTCATAAGTCCTCATATTCCTAAGTCCAAGGTGACACTGTACAACCATCTAGACAATAACTACAAAAATAAATTTCCCTTTTGTTACCATCATCTTCCTATACCTCATCTTACTAACACTTGGAATAGTCTCTCTGCTTTTGCCTCATTTGGCACAATAAGAGTCAGAAAAGTCTGCTCAAACCCCTCAGAAATAAGCATCAGCGTAGCAAAACAGCTGTAGCCAGAGATTGCAAACTGTTAGGTGTTTGTTTAGCCTGCCAAGCATTAAAAAAAAAGATGGTATTAGAATTTGGATTGTTGCTAACCTTTATAATCAGGAGATTTTACAAAACAACCTGGGTTTCAAAATTCTCTTAACATTGCACCATCTGGCTTCTCAGGCCTGACACTCTCATGACAGTGTTGGGCTGGAGCTAAATCCTGGTGGGGCAGATCCTCTTGAATCCCTTGGTGGCTCATGAAGTCAGTTTAGTGGGTCGCTATCGACTGTGTAGAATAATGAAACAGAGCAGGACAGAAAATATCAGGATATTTTGCCATGGTTGTAAGAAGGACTGCTTTGTGGAACTAAGTGTAGTGATGCACGTGCAGCTGCAGTCACACAGGCATATATGTGTATGACTTGGATTACAAGTAATATATCTCAAGGGGCTTCCCACGTGGCACTAGTGGTAAAGAGCCCACCAGCAATGCAGGAGATGCAAGAGATGTGGGTTCCATCCTTGGGTCGGGAAGATCCCTGGAGGAGGGCATGGCAGCGCACATGGCAACAACCACACAAGTATGCTTGCCTGGAGAATCCCATGGACAGAGGAGCCTGGCGGGCTACAGTCCATGGGGTCGCAATGACCGAGCACACATGCACGCCATGCAGACTAATTCACTCAGGTTACCTGCCTTCCTCATAGTCATTTGAGCTTGCCTTTTTTTTTTTTAAATTGGCTGTGCTGCTTGGCTTATCGAATCTTATTTCCCTGACTAGGAATTGAACCTAGGGCTATAGCAGTGAAGGTGCTGAGTCCTAACCACCAGACTGCCAGGGAAGTTCCCATTTGAACTTGAGTGAATGTTAACTTGGCTAGTGGAGATCAAACCAGCCCCCTGGGATCTGCTAGGGGGTTGCAGTTTCCCTGTGCTTTTTCCTTGGCTCTGAGTATTTATGTTTTTTGGTAGCTATTTATATTTTTTTGAGGTATAGTTGATCTATAGTGTTGTTAGTTTCAGGTCTCCAATCTGGTGATCACGTTTATATATTCTTTTTTTTCAGATTCTTTTCCCTTATAGGTTATTACAAAAAAGAGTTTAGTTCCCTGGGCTGCACAGTAGGTCCTTGTTGATTATCGATTTGTGGTGCTGGAAAAGACTCTTTAAGAGTCCCTTGGACTGCAAGGAAATCAAATCAGTCAATCCTAAGGGAAATCAACCCTGAATATTTACTGGACGGACTGATGCTGAAGCTGAAACTCCAATATTTTGGTCACCTGATGGGAAGAGCTGACTCATTGGAAAAGACCCTGCCCTGATGCTGGGAAAGACTGAAGGCCAAAGGAGAAGGGGGCGACAAAGGCTGAGATGGTTGGATGGCATTACCGACTCAGTAACAGAATTTGAGCAAACTCTGGGAGACAGTGAAGGACGCAGGAGCCTGGAGTACTGGTCCATGGGGTGGCAAAGAATTGGACACCACTGGCGTCTAAACAACAACAATATGTTAATCCCAACCTCCTAATTTATCCCACCCCTCCCCAACCCTGCCCTGGCTGTGAGCATTAGTAAACAGGGGATGTAGGTAGGCCAGGACTCTGTCATCCCTGCTCTGTGAGCAGGTTCCGGATCTAGCTGCCCAGCGTGGACTCTGGGACCCAGATGTCCCCTCGATGCCCAGTCTCTGACCCCGCCCCCTCTTCTCTCCTGCTTCCCCAGGAAAACCCGTATGTCATGCGCCGGCCCAACTTCCAGGCTCTGTCCGGGAACGAGCGCTTCGAGGGCTTCTGCGTGGACATGCTGCGGGAGCTGGCCGAGCTGCTGCGCTTCCGGTACCGCCTGCGCTTGGTGGAGGACGGGCTGTACGGGGCGCCCGAACCCAACGGCTCCTGGACGGGCATGGTGGGCGAGCTCATCAACCGGGTACGGCGGGGCTGGGGCTGCGGAAGGGGCGTGGGCCGGGTGAGGAAGGAGGGCGGGCAGCCAGTGGGGCCTCAGGGCCAGCCTGGCATGTACACTAGGCACCAGCCCATGATGTGCTGTGCCCCTGTGGCTGGTGAGCACCACGGGGCCACAACAGACGGCAAGGGGACTGTGCATCACTTCCGGTGTCAAAGGCCGTGCACGTCACTTCCTGTGTCTAGCCTCTGGATGCTTCCCTCATGCCTCCTCGGCTTTGTCTTTGCTCAAAGCTCAGAAGGGAAAGAATCTACCCGCAATGTGGGAGATCCGGGTTCAATCCCTGGGGTGGGAAGATCCCCTGGAGAAGGGAATGGCTACCCACTCCAGTATTCTTGCCTGGAAAATCCCACGGACAGAGGCTACAGTCCATGGGGTTGCGAAGAGTCGGACATGATTGAGCGACTAACAAAGACTTGAGTGAATGAAGGAGACGGTGGAGTGGGAACTGGAGAAACTGGACAACTGGGGGAGGTGGAGGAAGCTTCCTGTGGGAGGCGGAGCTAGGAGGGGCAGCCGGGGACTGCACCTCAGGTGCACTGCGCCCAGGCACCTGCCAGGAGCTGGACTTTGGGTTTGCCCATTGCTCTCGCAAGTCCACTCTTCCAGTAGATGTTTATTGAACATCTAGTGTGTGCCTTGCACCTTGCTAGGCATAGGGTATAGTGATGACCCTAGGGGACCTGGACCCTGCTTCCAAGAGCTCAGGGCCCCATTGGGATGCAGAAAAACAAATGACCACAAGACAGAGGCTTCCAGGCTTCAAGAGGGAAAACTCAGAGGAGGGACCTACAGGATCCTGACCCAGCCAGGGATCCAGGGAGGGCTTTCTGGAAGAGGTGACATCCCAGCAGATTCCCAAAGAGTGTGAAATAGTCAGCTGGGTGAAGTGGGGTTTGGGAGGAGGAGAACTTATTGGGAGGAGAAGAAATGGCATTTACAAACAGCTGGGTGGGGTGTGTGTAAGAGAGAGAGGGATGTATCAGAAGAGCAGCTGGACCCTGAGTGTAGGCAGGATGTGAGGGCAGGTGGGAGGTGGTAGGCGAGGGTGCAGTGGAAAGACTATTTTGGAGTCAGGCCAACCCTGGTACGAGTGCTGTGGTGAGTCATTTCTCTCCTCCAAACCTCAGTTTCCCCTTCCTAGGGTGGGGGCTAATGATAGCTGACAGGTCTGTAATGAGGGTTACAGACACATCACACATGTTGCTGGTCATATGTAGTTCCTGAGTTCCTCTTTGTTTCTGGTTGCCCTGCGAGGCTTGAAAGATCTTGGTTCCTCAACCAGGGATTGAACGCAGGGCCCCAGCAGTGAAGGTGTGGAGTCCTAATCACTGGACCACCAGGGAAGTACTGGAACCACCCTGTAGTTCCTTTTCCTTCCAGGCACTAGAAGTGGCATGGGCAAATGCCCAGAAAAGACAAACAGGCCCCTGGCTTAGGGCACACTCAGGGCAGGTGTGTGGAGCAGGGACCTGTGGCCGTAAACAGTCAGGGTGGCCTTGACATTGGACTTGGCGGAGGGCATTGGAAGCTCTCACTTTCCTGCCTCTCTCATCCAGAATTCACTGCATGTGAGCCCCTGACTGTCACCAGGGTAAACTCAAAAAGGCCACTTTGCTTGACAAGAACGTTGATCCCTTAGGGCACTGATTTTCAAAAGTTGTTTTGACTGCAGAACCTTTTTTCCAATTGAAAGGGCCCTCAGAAGCCTGGACAAAACAGCTGCTCTGGTGGAGAAGGAGGTGGGGGTGTCCCCTGGGGTCCTGGTGACTCAGTCTCACCCCGACCCTGGCCAATTCCAACTGGCAGGCCTGAGGCACTGTTCTGCAGGCAGCCAGCCAGTTGAAAGCTTCAGCCCTGGGTGAGTTTAAGAGTCTGAAGCTAGGACCTGAGGAGCTCAGAGGCAGAAGCTGGTGCCTTAATGCCCACCTCACTGGCAGCCTTACCTGTGACCTTATCGCCATAGCCCAGTCATGTAAGCTCAGAACTGTTTGTTCATCAGGGCCCCCAGAAATAAGATTCCAGGAGAGAAACAACCCCCACCCCCAACCAAAGTCACCGTCAACTGGACACCTGTCCATTCATCAAGGAAGAAGTCTATTTATAACCGTATGACCTTGGGCAAGAGTTTAACTCCCTGTGCCTTAGGACTTGGTGTGAAGGTGCCTGAGGTGAGCGGAGCAGGACTGGGAGCTTTGCTGATTGGTGGCTGCTAATCAGAAAAGTTTATGCTCCTGGGTCCTGGGTCTTGTTTGAATCTCTGCGGAGCATTTGTTGTGTGACCTTGGGTGACTTATTTAACCTCCGTGTAAAACCGAAGAAATAACAGATGCTGGCACATAGGGTCGTTGTGAGTGTAAAATGAATTAATCCGTGTAGGGGCTTGGAACAGGGCCCCCCAAGCAGTGGGTGCTGTGTGCCTGAACTCTCTATCGTTGTTAGTGTTATTCCTGTCAGTACAGACATCCATTCATGCATTCATCTGCCCTCCAGCCAGCTAGCATTTATTGAGTGCCTGCTGTATACCAGTAGGAAAAATCCCCTGATGTTGGCAAAGACTGAAGGCAAAAGGAGAAGAGGGAGGCAGAGAATGAGATGGTTAGATAGCATCATTGTCTCTGTGGACGTGAACTTGAGTGGGAGATAGTGGGGGACAGGGAAGCCTGGTGGGCTGCAGTCCACGGGGTTGCAGAGAGTCAGACACGACTTAGCAACTGAACAACAACAGCAACTGTATACCAGGTGCTGTGGTACACCTTGGGGATTCAGTGGCCTGGCTTTGCTCTTAGGGTTCAAGACTTTGGTCCTCAGCTGGCGGCCTGTGGGATGCACCCCCTGCACACAAAGGGTTGAGCTGGCTCAAATGAGGAGACAGTCATGGGGTGGGGAGAGGCAGGGGCTGCCAGAGGGTCTGTAGGGATGTAAGGGGAGGCTGGAGAGGGCCTAGACTTGGTGACTGCCTGGGATGAGGGACGGAGGAGAGAGGACGTGAGCGCTCCTCTTGTTTCTGATTTGGGCAACTGGGCACCCGCGGTGACATTTAGGGAAAGAACACTGGAGGAGGAGCAGGCTGACTGTGCAAAGGATGGGCAGGGTTTGGCCTCGCTGAGGCTCATCTGCCTGCTGTGGAAGGCCAAGTACACTGAGCCTCACACAGACACGCCCCACTGTCCTCCCGGCGGCAGCAGCTGACGTTAGTGAACCTCACACCATGTGCCCGGAACTTTGCAAGTGTCACTTCTTCTAACAATCCTTTCTGGCCCAGACAATCACTGCCCTCCTGCCGATGTGAGATCAGGGGCTCAGCAGTGAAGGGACCGGCCCCCAACATGCAGATGGGTGTGTCTGACCTGAGGCCTGTGTCCTTTCCAGACACCCAGCAGGTCCTTAGGAAGCCTGGAGTGGCCAGGGTGATGCTCATGCTGTGCCAGGCCCTTGTCCGAACTTTATGAACTTAACACAACCCTTGACTCCTCACGGCCACCCCTTTGAGGAAGGCCTGGTGTTAGCTCAGATTTCTGTAATGAGCAGAGAGAGGCACTCAGATACCATGCCCAGGGCACATGGCTGGTGACAGGCAGAGCCAGGGCTGGCACCCCGGCAGGCCGGCCCAGAGCTGATGATTGACTTCCAGAGGGAAGACAGCCCGGGGCACCAGCAGCCCCCCAACCACCCCCGGGCCAGCTGCAGGGCTCAGACGCCAGGCTCCAAATATGGTCCATTTATCATGCTGCAAACTCAGCCCCGCCCCTCTCACCCGCCTCCTCTGGGCTTCCCATCTCTCTCCATTCCAGTTTGTCCTCTAGTAGGATCTTTTTAGGGGCTTTCCTGGAGGCTCAAGTGGTAAAAAATCTGCCTGCAATGCAGGAGACATGGGTTTAATCCCTGGTTGGGAAGATCCCCTGGAGGAGGAAATAGCAACCCACTCCAGTATTCTTGCCTGGAGAATCCCATGGACAGAGGAGCCTGGCGGGCTACAGTCCAGGAGGTGGCAAAGAGTCAGACACAACTGAGTGAATAACACACATTAGTTGTCACCTCCCCAGGCCTGCAGGCTAAACTCTGTGCACTTCAGTCTGGCGCTTAAGAGATCAGGAAGCGGATTTCCAGGTGGAAATTAGCAGGCAGGAGGTGTGTGGGGGCACCCTTAGAAACCTGCCTTGTAAGGTGGCGTGAGGGAAAGAATCCATCTGCCAGTGCAGGAGATGCAGGAGACCCAGCTTCCACCCTGGGTGGGGAAGATCCCTTGAAGGAAGGCATGGCAACCCACTCCAGTATTCTTGCCTGGAGAGTCTTACGGACAGAGCCTGGTGGGAATTTGGGTGCGTTTTTTTGTTTGTTTTTTCTTTTTCTTTTTGACCTCTCTACGTGGCTTGAGGATCCTAGTTCCCCCAACAGGGATGGAACCTGGGCCCCGTGAGTGAAAGCACTTGATTCCCAACCACTGGACACCAAGGAATTCCTTTATTTTTTTTTCTCTTTTGGATTTTGTTTTTATTGTGTTGTGGAGCCACTGGAAGGTTTTAAGCAGGGAAGGTGCCATGATCTAATTTCTTTATTCTTTTTTTTATTGAGGTGAAATTCATATAAAATTAACCATTTTAAACTATACAGTTCAGTGGCATTTAGTATATTCACAATATTGTACAACATTTGCCTCTCTCTACTTTCAAGACATTTTCATGACCCCCAAAGAAAACCCAAACCCAATAGCAGTCACTGCCATTTCCCCCTTTCTTCAGCTCCTGGCAGTTACCACTCTGCTCTCTGTCTCCATGATTTACTTATTCTAGACATTTGGTGTAAATGGAACCAGCCAATATGTGGCCTTTTGAGTCTGGCTTCTTTCACACAGCACAGTGTGCTTGAGGGTCATCCACATTATAGCGTGATGAGTACTGTCTTCCTTTTTAAAAAAGTATTATTCTAGAGGAGGGCATGGCAACCCACTCCAGTATTCTTGC